TCATCTAAACATCACTACATGTACTATATACCAGCCTCTACTAGGTAGCCAGGAAGTCAAGACATCTAAACATCACTACATGTATTTCATACCACCCTCTACTAGGTAGCCAGGAAGTCATCTAAACATCACTTAGTAACATACCTTTGTATTGATTTGCTTGAGTTTCCTTGGATTTAAGTTCTAGGTAGCCAGGAAATCATCTAAACATCCCTACATGTACTATATACCATCCTCTACTAGGTAGCCAGAAAGTCATCTAAACATCATTACATGTACTATATACCAGCCTCTACTAGGTAGCCAGAAAGTCATCTAAACATCACTTAGTAACATACCTTTGTATTAATTTGCTTGAGTTTCCTTGGATTTAAGTTCATCAGTTTGTATACTCGTCTTTTGTATTTAAACTGAAAACAACAAAAATCAATAATTACTTGTAACTTTCTTTTTTTATAGACATATTAAATCATTTTTTATTTCCTACCAGTTAAAATTATCAAAAAGATAAATACACAATATGAGTTCACTGACATAGGGACTGTTGTCTTTAAATCAGATATATTACGTAAAGATCTATTGAAATATAGAAGTGAGTAACCTTCACAGTAAGGTACTTGACTGGTACGTGTCACCCACCTCAAGAAATCCGATTGGTCCCTGTAGTGGGTAATGTCGCAGCAGTCTCTCTTCCTCCAGGAACTTGCCAGCCCTGCCATTTATCGGCGGACTGTAAAGGCCGAAATTCAGGGCATCCTTCAAGTCCTGTGAAAAGCATAAAGATTATTCAATGTTATAGTTAAATGGAAATAAATCAATTATAACAATCTGCTGTATTTGTTTCACAAAATTAATCAATTTAGAAGTTAAGTTATCATATCACAAACAATTGTAAGTATAATAGAGAGTATCAGAAGGTTTGACAGTAGAGAATGGGGTTGGCTCTGTAGGGAATCGGGCTCTATTGCAGAGATTATCAGAAGGTTTGACAGTAGAGAAGTCTAAGAGAGTCTATAAGAAGGTTTATCAGTAGAGAATGGGGCTGGCTCTGTTAGAGAGTCTATAATAAGGTTTATCAGTAGAGAATGGGGCTGGCTCTGTAAGAGAGTCTATAAGGTTTATCAGTAGAGAATGGGGCTGGCTCTGTAAGAGAGTCTATAATAAGGTTTATCAGTAGGGAATGGGGCTGGCTCTGTAAGAGAGTCTATAAGAAGGTTTATCAGTAGAGAATGGGGCTGGCTCTGTAAGAGAGTCTATAAGGTTTATCAGTAGAGAATGGGGCTGGCTCTGTAAGAGAGTCTATAAGAAGGTTTATCAGTAGAGAATGGGGCTGGCTCTGTAGGGAATGGGGCTCTATTGCAGAGAGTATAAGAAGGTTTATCAGTAGGGAATGGGGCTTCATTAATCATGCTACAGTACCTTGGCAAACGTCCCCAGTAGTCGCTGTTTGGCCTGCCATACTGTCTCATCCAGCTCAAACTGAAGGCACTTCTACAACACAACATCAGCCACATTAACATTTAACACCGAGTCTATAAAATTTCATGACTTATTTAAATAGCATCCTCATCAAGACAACCCCAATATATGGGTGATAGATGTTATTCAAAAACGTCTCTTTCATGTGTAGATGGACATTAGTATAAACATTGTCCAAAAACAGGGTAGAGAATGCTTTGCATTTTCAAATATTGTAGGATATTTATATAAACTCCGTCTAGAAGACCCTTACAACAGTTTCTGTAAAACATTGTCTATTGGGACTCAGTCCGTAGAGTAAAATAAACCATTCTGTACCAGGACTTTTAGGTCTGCTATGGAAATTCATATAAACACTAGTGCGTACTGTCTCATAACATTAGGGACAACATCCATAAATGAAATGGAATGATTTAGTACCTGGACTTTTAGGTCTGGTATAGAGATTCGTATGAACACTGTCCCTGTCTGATTGTCAGATGTAAAGGAACTCTCCATGTAGTGGTTAGATTCACGCAGCTCTGCTGGGACCCCATTGTAAGTCACGGACGGCCCCACATAGGACTTCCTGTTGGGGCTGACATGGTAAGGGTTACCGACATCCATCTTTAAGTCAGCCCTCTGTTAAAGGCATCGTCATGGTGATAAAGGCTGAAGAGGTTACTTCATCTCATCTCTGTAAGTACAAAACAATCATGTGTCAGTGTTTTTATTACAATCAACAAGTCAAACAGTCGATTACATATTCATGCAGGGCATAACTCAATGTTGCAAACACCTTCAAATGTAATTGGGATCTTTAAAACAGTATAATTGAAATGATATTTTCAATAGAATCTATTGTAAGATTACACTAATCACCAGAAATACAACAAAGACATCTATAGCTGAAATATTTCTACCGTGAGAAATCTAACCAATTGTTGCTGCTATCATCATTACATAGACAATGCTACAATAGACAATAACATGGATGTGGTAATCCATCCTCTCTAGATGTTGGGTTAAAAAGCCTGCTCCCAGTCATGATTATAATCAACACCATTAATTCCTCCTTCTACCCCTCCCTGTCTAAGTCGTCCACCTCATCATGTTCTGTAACTCTGGCCTGGGCCATACCAAGGCAGAGATGGAGGGTATGCAGCTTACTTAGCAGGATTTCGCCAATATGGTAATAGGCATATCGTAGTTAATCAAATGATATAGCAAGCACAACAAGTCAGCCACCAGAAACAAGGACAGGAACTTAAGATATTATACTTTTGGTAATTAACCTTTGTTAAGCCAATACCTGAACTTGTGTTTTTTCCCCAACTGTATTTATCACACAATGAACTTCATAAATAACATTGTGATTACTTTGAATCCAGTGTCAGGAATGGGACTGTATTCAACATTCCATAATTTCTACACATTTCCCGAAGACCAACACTACAGAAGGTAGAGCTGAGGTAGAGCTGTGTGACAAGTACGTCTACAGATCCCGGGAACAATAACATATCTCTATGTGACAATTTGATGATCACATGTCACTTTTGATGCAGCAGGCAATTATTCACACACAACAAGCCAGTGTGATTAGTCAGGCCCCTGTTAGGTTATGTGTTGGGTTTGGCCAACATAAATCCAATCATTGCTCAGGGCATCATATTGCATCTGATAATGTTCAAACTAAGTTTTTTCATGAGACGCACATGATGACCCAAGGCTTTTGATATAAAATGTGGACAGTGACCTTTATCAGGAACAACAGATGGACAGTGACAGACTGTTACATACAGAATGGTGAAGATACAGCTATATAACTGGCTAGAGTTGACGACCTGTGCTCTGGACTCGATCACAAGGGTACACTTCACTGTTCCTATGAGGAATGTCCAGTAAACAGAGTGCATCACAAGGGTACATAATAACCTGAAGCAGTGAGTTTGAGCAACAATTCACATTAAACATTTACTTGCTCTGTCAGTGCCCTCTATATTTTCAGTAAACATGTGAAGAATACAATCACACACATACGGCAGACAGGAAGTTCTAAGTTTGGACACGAGTGGAAACAAATGATGCCCTTTTACTGTCAATCCTTGGATCCAACACATGCTCTCCTGTTGTATTGCTATACTGCTGACACCTAAAACAGCAGTACCGACTTAGTGAGATAGTACACCTTAAACATGTTACTTTGCACATATCAACCCAGACGGTCACTAGATTATTGAAATACTCTACAATAAACATTCTTGTATCACCACTCACATGGTGTTTTAAAGTTTAGGTTTTAAAAATCTCTTTTCACTGTTGATAAGACTTGTATAAGCTCAAAGTTGTTTGTCATTCATAAATTGTTGTGTTTATATAGACAGATAGACAAACGTCGAGATATATACGACACCTTACATGGTTCTATTTCTCTGGATACTAGCCAATACATGAGTAAGCACTAAGTTCAACCATCAGCACAACCACAACTCGCTTCCTGTATTCATCTTCTGGTTCAACACATCTATAACTAAATCCTTGAGGTGGTGCACTTATTCAAAACTTGAAGCATCAATTGTCGACATAATACATCATTTCAGACATTGAAGCATTTATCACTTACAAAGATCACAATTTGTAACCTTAAGTTTATATTTAAAAATTATTGGAAACAGTGATTACAAATATTTTGGAGTCACATGCTTGAAGCTAACCAGTCTTGAAGCAAACAGTTATTACCAAAGGATAACAAACACATAGCAATGTCTAATGGTTTAAACCTGTCCAATCTTGTGTCCAATATCACCAACAATGCCACTCATAAATCCTACAGCCTAAACCATCAAACACATAGTAAAAACATCAACTTGTAAAGAAGATTTAAACACATTTCTCCATACTTCGGTCAGCTGACAGATATTGTAAGTTTGTGTATATAATTATCAGGAATATGTTTGTCAATGATAAACCGTTAACACTGATCAGCAGTTAGTAAGGTAATCACTAATCCCATGTCTTAATTCAACCGTTAACACTGATCAGCAGTTAGTAAGGTAATCCCATGTCTTAATTCAACCGTTAACACTGATCAGCAGTTAGTAAGGTAATCCCATGTCTTAATTCAACTGTTAACACTGATCAGCAGTTAGTAAGGTCATCCCATGTCTTAATTCAACATTTAACACTGATCAGCAGTTAGTAAGGTAATCCCATGTCTTAATTCAACCGTTAGCACTGATCAGCAGTTAGTAAGGTAATCTCATGTCTTAATTCAACCGTTAACACTGATCAGCAGTTAGTAAGGTAATCCCATGTCTTAATTCAACAGTTAACACTGATCAGCAGTTAGTAAGGTAATCCATGTCTTAATCCAACAGTTAACATGTTTTCCTTTAAATTTATACAAAATTATTGAACATATAAAACTATTTTTTGAGATGATTTGTCAATCGGATTGGTGTAGGCCTGCCCCACCCCTACTATGTACAACTTACTATAGCAATAATAACAGTACGTTGTGTGCCTGTCATATAGGTATTAGGATACATGCACGGTGATCATGTCATATTGCATGTCACAGAGGATCCTCCCATGTCATTGTACAGGTAGGTTTAAACTACAAACATCTACCTTTACATTCACAATATTCACAATAAAAGTCTAAACTATAGATATCATAGTATAACCAAACTACTCCCATCCCTTTTGACTTAACCTAGATTCACAATGTCTTTCCTTTTGTTTTGTTATCTCCCTTTGTTTTGTAGTTCCAGTTTTATCCTGGAGTGTTGATGCTAAGGTGTATCTATTCTAATTTACATTCAAACACCCAAGCTTGTTTACTTCTAGTCTATTACTCGAAGCAAGTCAATTCTAAAACAGGATTACATTCCAATTCTTTTTGTAACTTAAGCTTCTTTTACAAGATAGCCCGGTATTGTTTGACCTCTATCACGTACCCTACCACTCCAGGGTCCCCCCAAACAGTCTTAATACAGATAAATCATTACGAGATCCATAAGCTTATGTCTCTGGTACAGCACAGTTTTAGCTAGTACATGAAGTGAGTGTAAGTTCCCCTAACAACCTTTGTGAGCTGGTGAGCCCTTTCTATAGCTGGTAATGCTGTTTCTGGGTTTATACGTTCTCTAGCCATTGGACACTTATTTAACAATCTGACCAGGTACCAGTTACTTTAGATGGCATTGATGGAGATCTTGTAGTATTCACAAAACATCACTCTACATGTTCTTATAGGAATCAATTTCTTACTGATGAACGCACAGTGTTAATGGAGGTCCTGGCCTATAACCATGGGAGACGCCCATGTTACAGGTTATATTACACCTGGGTGCTTGACTGACCAGATTGATCTGTACACCTTAGTCTCACTGGTCACATGATCAGCACAAAGAGTAACAAAAATAAAACTGGGAAACGTCTATAAGACATAAATGCCACCATGGTCCTGTGGTTGACCTTTAAAAAGAACAGTGACATTGGAACAAGCAAATAGAAACTTAACACCAAATCATTTTAAAACTTTAATGAAAATCTGTTAAGGAATGACGTTAGTAGATGACAACGAATTCTATTTACATGACGGGACACGACACAAAGTGATACAATGTGAGGGACACGACACAAAGTGATACAACGTGAGGGACACGACACAAAGTGATACAATGTGACGGACACAACACAAAGTGATACAATGTGACGGACACAACACAAAGTGATACAATGTGAGGGACACGACACAAAGTGATACAATGTGAGGGACACGACACAAAGTGATACAATGTGAGGGACACGACACAAAGTGATACAATGTGAGGGACACGACACAAAGTGATACAATGTGAGGGACACGACACAAAGTGATACAATGTGAGGGACACGACACAAAGTGATACAATGTGAGGGACACGACACAAAGTGATACAATGTGAGGGACACGACACAAAGTGATACAATGTGAGGGACACGACACAAAGTGATACAATGTGAGGGACACGACACAAAGTGATACAATGTGAGGGACACGACACAAAGTGATACAATGTGAGGGACACGACACAAAGTGATACAATGTGAGGGACACGACACAAAGTGATACAATGTGAGGGACACGACACAAAGTGATACAATGTGAGGGACACGACACAAAGTGATACAATGTGAGGGACACGACACAAAGTGATACAATGTGAGGGACACGACACAAAGTGATACAATGTGAGGGACACGACACAAAGTGATACAATGTGAGGGACACGACACAAAGTGATACAATGTGAGGGACACGACACAAAGTGATACAATGTGAGGGACACGACACAAAGTGATACAATGTGAGGGACACGACACAAAGTGATACAATGTGAGGGACACGACACAAAGTGATACAATGTGAGGGACACGACACAAAGTGATACAATGTGAGGGACACGACACAAAGTGATACAATGTGAGGGACACGACACAAAGTGATACAATGTGAGGGACACGACACAAAGTGATACAATGTGAGGGACACGACACAAAGTGATACAATGTGAGGACACGACACAAAGTGATACAATGTGACGGACACAACACAAAGTGATACAATGTGAGGGACACGGCACAAAGTGATACAATGTGAGGGAAACGACACAAAGTGATACAATGTGAGGGACACAACACAAAGTGACA